TACTACTACTACTACTACTACTACTACTACTACTACTACTACTACTACTACTAGAACATCAGTTTTTTTCGTGTTTTGGACTTGTTAGATTCGGTTGAAAGGGGGCCCTGGGGCAGGGGATGGGGGCAAAATGGAGCAGTTACAGATTGCCAAGTCACTGTGCTTTGACCATTAATACCTAGAACCCTGATAAATAGCAACAAAAGCTGTCTGACTCAGCTCAGTAAAGAAGCCTCAAAGGTTTGTTTTTATTCGATTTGTGTACAAACTCCTCAATTTTGGCCGATACAAGTCTGCTCGATAATCTACACCATGGATGTAAAGTGCTCTACTCGTGGTTAGTAATTTAATATTACAATAATATTATCATTCAGCATCATTTGCATTGTGTAAAAGATGTCGCATCTGTTCCAACAACAAGGTGTGTGTTCGAACCCGGGCTCTGACCTGATGCTGCGTCCTATAGAAGATGTTATACTAATCGTCTTTATTTTTACACGCTTTTAGAAAAGGGTTCCAAGCGAAGACACTGAAAGATTATGTAGTTGGTTAGTGTGCGAGAGCTTTTAAAATGACAGCCTCGTTTGATACTTTCTGAAACATTTAAATGGTTTGCAGGTCTAAGGGAATAAAAATAAATTTAAATATTCATAGCGTCTAGTTTTTAGCGTTTCTACACTCATGACTATAAAGGAAGGAGTCTCTAGAGTCTAGAGGAAGGAGTTATTATGTAAAATATCGTCCCCGTGTGGGAATCAAACGCAAGTCTTTCGAGTGCCAAGAAAAGAGCCTACACTTTACATAATTGGTGTCAATTTAAAAAGATAGAAACAGACACCACATTCATTACTCGTTGTTCTTTTTCTCCTCAGATTCCCCCCTCCCACCCCTGCAGAAAACCGCTTTAAGAATCTACAGCAATCGGTTCAGCCCGTATGCCATCCGGGCTCTGCTGGTGCTGGAACACAAAAACTTACCATAAGTTGACTCCCCGAACTCTGTGACCGGCTAGATGCTGACATGTTTGGCTACTTTTTGTGTGCTTGTTGGTTTGGTGTGCTGACTTAAATTTTAGGTGCGAGGAAGACGTCATTGGACTATAATGTTTATAATAGAGGATGGCTGTTGTTGTTGTTGTCATTTTTGTCACTGTTATTGCTATTGTTGTGCGTATAATATGTGTGTAGGCCTATGTGAGTTTATGTATATGTGTGTGTGTGCGTGTGTGCGTCTGTATAT